GGGCGGGCGGGGCGGAAATTCCTAGGTGTGGGGCTGGGAGAGACTGGTCCGGAGAGGGAGAAGCCGGTTTCTGGGCAGCCCCTAAGATACGAAGAAGAAATTCAGCACCTGCCCCCTGAGCTTCTCATCCAGGGGGTGCAACACCTTATGTGAATGCGGTACCCTGTGGTATATGCAGAGCGCTTAGGGACGAGGGGGAAGCGCTGAGTCTCAGCGCCAGCCTCAGTATTGCCACCTCACCCTTAGTTGCCGTGGGAAGTAAAGAAACGTTGTTGCCGGAAATAGTGAGATGTCCTAATCTCTCTTAGGATGTCCCATCTCCATTGCATAGCTCCGCCACCTGTCAAATTGCAGAAACTAGGAGCCACCTAGGCTAAGTGAAGGGCCCTCTTCCAGGCGAAATCAGGAAAGTGGCTCAGGAAAGATCCTCAAATACTTTATGTGGACACACCCACTCCCAGCTATCGAACTGCATAAACCAGAGACCCAAGGAGGTCACCCTTGATGGCTCTGCTCTCTCGGTCGCTTCTTCCCAACCCTGTGCAACACCACTGCACTGTGGAGCCCTGCACGTCTCTTCATCTTCCTTGCTCCCAAGCTACCGTCATCTCCTGACTGGATTGCTGCAATGGCCTTTGTTTTGTTTTGTTTTTGTAAAACACAATTAACAAGCGTGATTTAATGAATATATATAGAACCATGCACCCAAAAGTTTAAAAATACTCATTGTACTTAAGCATACTTAAGAATATTTTACAAAAATTGGTGTCAACTGAGTTTGCCATTTTGAACTAAAAACTTTAATAGATTTATTAAATACTTTTTATTTTGAAATAGTTTTAAACTCACAAGAAGTTGTAAAAATAGTAGAATTCCCATGTACCCTTTATCTGACCTCCCCCAATGATAGTATTTTACATAACCACAGTCCATTTTGATATATTTTTAAGTGAACATATTAAGATTTTATCCTATATAATAAAAGCCTAATATGTTAAGTGTCCGATCCGTTGGTTCCACCATTCGACCAGTCGCTATGACATGCACTGACCACCAAGGGGCAGACGCTCCCACCGGTAGGTTAGCTTTCTGCTGGGGTCCGGCCAGTCGGGACTGGGCGAGACAGGCTGGATACTCCCTGCAGCCCTCCCAGGGTCCCTACCCAGCCCAAGCCCTGCAGCCAGGGACCCCACCGGTGCACAAATCCATGCACTGGGCCTCTAGTTGTCATATAATAAAACAAAATATGAAGCTTAGAACTGGATCACTTGACCCTTCCTCTTCTTATCACCTCCTAGTTCAAAATGCTTGCATCTCTTAACACGGTAAGCGCCATGTCAGTCACTGGTGACTGACACTATACTTTCTGTCCAGACCAGACCAGTCAGTCACTGGTGCCGCGAGCATATCGGTGAAATCGGATATCTTGGGCTAAACGGAAAGGAAGACAAAACAGGCTTGGCGCTTAACGTGTTAATAGCCAGCATTCTCTTAGATCTGCAGTTGGGCTCAATGCATTCAAGCCTCAGCACAATCTTCTTTGTAGTTTTAGCCTTTTATTCAGAAAATCAGCTTAGTCTGCCCATCATAGCCACTCTGCTTCCTGTCATAATGCCGCTTTCCCTATGCATACAGAGAATCCTTGCCCATCTTGTACTGTGTTACTCTGTGGGGTTGATGCTTGCCACACTTCTTACAGAAAGTTGGTGGGTTTTAGAAACCTTCACCATGTTTGCGAGAGCACTATCTGCAGAGAAAGCCATTTTGATATATTTTTACCAGGTTTGTGCTAAATATTTGAGATGAATTAGAACATTTTCTATTTTTTTTAAGCTCTAGGGCAATTTCTATCTACATTATTTCTTTCTTGGAAGATTATCGAGTTTGAAAAAATTATTGATAATGGGCATGATGCTGTTAAAAAAAATTTTTTAGCTCTAACTACTTTGGCTCAGTGGATAGAGCGTCAGAGTACGGACTGAAGGGTCCCGGGTTTGATTCTGGTCAAGGGCACATGCCCGGGTTGCAGGCTCAATCCAGTAGGGGGCGTGCAGGAGGCAGCCAATCAAATGATTCTATCTCATTGATGTTTCTTTTTTATTTATGTATTTTTTATTGATTTCAGAGAGGAAAGGAGAGTGAGAGAGAGATAGAAATATCAATGATGAGAGAGAATCATTGATCGGCTGCCTCCTCCATGCCCCCTACTGGGGATCAAGCCTGCAACCTGGGCATGTGCCCTTGACTGGAATCGAACCCGAGAACCTTCAGTCCACAGGCCCGACGCTCTATCCACTGAGCAAAACCAGCTGGGGCTCATTGATGTTTCTATCTCTCCTTCTCTCTTCCTCTCTGAAATCCATAAAAATATATTTTAAAATTAAATTAAATTAAAAATTTTTTGTCTCCTTCCACCCAGATCCTGCCCTCCCCTCCCTCTGGCTCTCACCACATTGTTGTCTGTGTCCATAGGCTATGCAAAAAAGCTCTTCGGCTGTTCTCTTCACCTTCTTTCACCATGTCTGCCCCAGTCACTTCCCCTCTGACATCTGTGAGTCCGTGTATCTAGTTCTCTGGTTCTATTTTGTTCGTCAGTTTATTTTGTTCATTAGATTCCATATATAAGTGAGATCATATGATATTTGTCTTTCTCTGACTGGCTTATTTCACTAAGCATAATAATCTCCATCTCCATCCATGCTGTTGCAAAAGTAAGAGTTCCTTCCTTTTTACAGTCACACAGTATTCCATTGTGTAAATGTACTACAATGTTTTTATCCACACATCTACCTACCAATGGACACTTGAGCTGTTTCCAGATCTTGGCTATTGTAAATACTGCTGCTATGAATACTGTGTAGGAGTGCATATATTCTTTCTGATTGGTGTGTTGGGATTCTTAGGATATATTCCCTGAAGTGGGATTGCTGGGTCAAAAGGCAGTTCCATTTTTAATTTTTTGAGGAAACTCCATACTGTTTTCCACAGTGGCTGCACCAGTCTGCATTCCCACCAACAGTCCCCTTTCTCCACATCCTCTCCAGCACTTGTTGTTTGCTGATTCATTGATGGTAGCCATTCTAGCAGGTTCGAGGTGATATTTCATTGTGACTTTAATTTGCATCTCTCTGATGATTAGTGACCTTGAGTATTTTTCATATTTCTATTGGCCATCTGTATGTCCTCTTTGGAGAAGAATCTATTCAGGTCCTTTGCCCACTTATATTTTTATTTTTTAATTTATATATTTTTTAAAATACATTTTCATTGATTTCAGAGAGGAAGGGAAAAGGAGGGAGAGAAACATCAATGATAAGAGAGAATCATTGATTGGCTGCCTCCTGCACATCCCCTCCCCTCCCCCCCCCCACACTGGTGATGGAGCCGGCAACTTGGACATGTACATGTGCCCTGACCCGGAATCGAACCATGACCTACTGGTTCATATTGACGCTCAACCACTGAGCCACGCTGGCCAGGCACCCTTGGTCCAATTTTAAATTGGATTGTTTGTTGTCCTGGTATCAGTTGTATAAGTTCTTTATATATTTTGGAAATTAACCCCATATCAGTTGTATCATTGGTGAATATGTTCTCCCATATAGTGGGTTCCCTTTTCATTTTGTTGATTATTTCTTTTAGTGTGCAGAAGTTTTTTAGTTTGATGTAGTCCCATTTGTTTATTTTTTCTTTTGTTTCACTTGCCCTAGAAGATATATCGGCAAAAATATTGCTACAAGAGATGCCTGAGATTTTACTGCCTATGTCTTCTTTTAGATTTTTATGGTTTTTCGACTTACACTAAAGTCTTTTATCCATTGTGAATTTATTCTTGTGTATGGTGTAAGTTGGTGGTCTACTTTCATTTTTTTTTACATGTACCTGTCCAATTTTCCCAGCACCTGGATTAAAATTCTGGCTTCACCACTCATTGTGAATAAGTTATTTAACCTCTGAGCCATCGATTCCCTCATCTGTAAAATACAACTGTCCCTCTATATTCGCAGGTTTTGCATAGGGCAGTTGTGATGAGATAATCATGTATTTGTCACATAATAAACAGTTATTATATATTAGTAAGTATTACTATAACAACTCTCAAGAATATTAAGAATTATTACTATTTGACCAGAATAATTTTAACCTCTGTGCAGGACCCTCATAAGTTGCCAATATCTTCCATATCTCTCTTCACCAACCTGCTAGTTGGAAAATTCTCCTCAGATTTAAACTCAGATTATTTGAATAATGCTTTTAAAGCTCACTTCAGCTCATTCATTAAACCAGTAATTATTTACCATGCTCTGTCATTCATTCCTTGAACAAATATTTCTCAAGCAAGCCAGGTACTGTTCTAAGCACTGGAGAAAGAGTGAAAACACAGTAGAAAAAAAAATTTCGCTTTCATGGAGGTAATATCCTTGTGGAAGATAAGTAAATATATAATAAAATGTCAGAAAGTGATGTATATTATGTAGAAAAATGAAGTAAAGGGAGGAAGCTGTGGATAAGAGTTCAGATCTTATACTAATTGTGAATGGAAGCCTCTGGAGCAAGTATGCCAAACTCGCATTTATTTAAATAAACG